GCACTTAACAACAACAACAACAACAATGAAGAAAGAAGAAAGCATATGTATCTGAACCTTTCCAATTAATTTCAAAATTTATGAGCACCCTGGTGTGTGTCAATTGCCACAGTTAGTTGGACTGGACTTTAGCTTATGGACTGCAAAGTCGGTTTGAACCGCAAGGTCGGCAGTTCAAGTTCACCAGTCGTTCCTCAGAAACCCTATACAGGGTCGCTATGGGTCAGAACCAACTAGACAGCACTCAACAACAACTATGTGTCAAGCATAAGATTCAAGGGTAGGTCAAACAGCATTCCCACTAAGCTTGCAATAACTGCATGCATGGGTTTATTCCACACAAACTGGGTTTAAACAAGTCTCTGAAATCAGTGGATGGCTACAGACAAGTTCTCTAAGTAACATACTTGTCATTGTTTCACTAGGGTACCTTCAAAAGTAATATCCAATCAAAACAAAGGTTTCTGAGGGGATCTGCTGGACCAATTAAATTCAAGGCAGAGAGGTCAATTTAGAAAGTTATGCGGACCATTTGAGGGACAATCTTGACAAATTACCTGTAAGGACACACGACAACCAGGAAAGCTTATTAGGAAGAAGTTTTAAACAGAAAACTGCATTGGTGAGAAAAAGGCCAAGAAACTTGTGCCAAGAAATTTTTTCCCATCAAGACAATGCACCTTCTCATTATCAGGGGGTAGTAAGAGCTGTCATATGAGAATTTCATAGGGAAACGTTACCCCAGCCACCTTACAGCCCTGATCTCCCCTTTCAGAATTCTATTTCCCAAACTCAAAGAACATTTAAAAGGAATATGATTTGAGTCCCTTCAGGATTCCAAAACTGCCAATTTAATGTGCTGTAATTCTTTGGGGCAGGGCTGTTGTTGTTGTTGTTAAGTGCCGTTGAGTCGGTTCCAACCCATAGCAACCCTGCACAGGGTTTCCGAGGCTGTAAATGTTTACAGCAGCAAAAAGCCTCATCTTTCTCCCGTGGAGCAGCTGGTAGTTTCAAACTGCTGACCTTGAGGTTCACAGCCCGATACGTAACCACTACGCTACCAGAGCAGGGTTAGAAAGATGGAAATACTGACTTCAGAAGTGTATAGACTCAGAAGGAGGATGTGTCCAGAAATCATCACTTCACATTCTGATAATTTTGTTAAACACAAGTTACCCATGGTTTTGTAGCAATACTTTTTGACTCACCTGCATGCATCTACCATTCTCCTCTACCTTTAGTAAAAAAAAATTCCTAGACAGCAAAATATTGTAACTTCCATCTCTGTTTTTCCAATAATCAGATACCTCCACTAATAAGTCCCACAAGCCCTTAAATTTAACCAGTCTGCTCAAGATGAACACATGTTAATGACCCGAGAAGCAACCCCAAAGCTTCACTACCACTTGATTTTTCACCCTGACTTATACTCTTCCTATGAGGTCCCTCCTTTCTAATCTCATGGACATTTACCTTGATAGTTTTTCTACATATTCTTCCTAGACTACAAAATTGCCTTATAAATAGTCTCCCTCTGGTTTGTGAACCACAAGGTTGGCAACTCAAGTCCACCAGCCACTCCACCGGAAAAAGATTTATAGCCTCAAAAACACTATACATAGGGTCATTATAAATCGGAGCCAACTCAACTGGCACTTAACAACAACAAACAAACAGTCTTCGTAACTCTTTCTGCCCATTGCTCCAGAGCATTTATATAAGATTAACTTAAAATAAAATTCTAATCATGTTGACACATGACTTAAAAAAACTTCAATGGTTATCTCAGTTCTACAGAAAAAAATACAAATCCCTCACTCTTATACCATGTTCATCCACCTGAGCAAAATTTTGGACCCACCCAAGCAAGTATACTATTATTGCATATGTTAGTACCACAAAATAACTTCATCATACGCCTTATCTAAAACACTACACAAATCACAGGATATTAGGAAGGCAACCAAACCAGCCTATTTTCTACCATCTTAATTACTGGTCTCCCAACCATCAGAGGGTACTCCGAATCTTCGGAGTGTACTCATCAAGTACAGTTGTCAGCAATAGTAAAGGGGTAACAAGAATTACGTTAAAACTGCGTGTGCTGCTCTCTCTCTCCTCTCTCTCTCTTCCTCTGTGGACCTGGGACTCTAATTATATGATAATAAACTTCACTTTATATATCTATACATATATATGCTTCACTGGTTTTGCTTCTCTAGAAAATCAGGCCAAAGACATGTGGTACCAAGAGAGTGGGGTTCTAGAGAAACAAAATCA